GCGTGCTCTGCGGCTTTGCTCTGCTTTGCTCCCCGTCCCCCTGGTCTGCAGACGCGTCTGGGCTGTCCGCTGCCTGCGTGCTCCGCGGCTTTGCTCTGCTTTGCTCCCCGTCCCCCTGGTCTGCAGACGCGTCTGGGCTGCCTGCTGCGCGCGTGTTTCGCCGCTTTGCTTCCTCTCCCTGGTCTGCTGGAGACCAGGGAGAGGTCCCCGTTCGTAACTGCAGATCCGACATAAGTCGGATCCGCGTAACTCAGGGACTGCCTGTACTTTCGGCAAAAGTATCATCTTCAGAAGGCAGTGGGACATGGGGGGAAGGAAGAAATGGAAATACCTTGCCCACATTGTTCCACCTGAAAGCATCATATGGTTTGTGAGGCATATTGCCTCCATTGATTTTGGAAAAGGAGAAAGAATGCACTACAAAATGGTGTTTGTCCTTCCCAGGACAATTCGTCAGTGTGGGAAGTGCATTCCACAGTCAAGAACCAGTCACTTAAACCACACTACTTCAGCCCCTACAGATTAAGTTGGGATTGTTGGCTCAAGCATTATAGCGGATTTCAGTTTTTATGTTAATGCATGGAAAGTTATGTGCTAAAATCTCTTAAGTAAGTATTTTTAATAAAATTGCTAGCACCCCATGTACTGAATATATTATTTTCAATTAATGATCTTCCTTGGGGGCAATTGGGAATGTGAGACAGATAACCATGAATTTCAGCTTCAAACTCAGATGGCCTATTGTATATATGTTACCTAATTTCCACTATTACTTTGTGTATAGGCACCCACTTCCCCTCCAGCTGGGGATGGAGAGTGCTCAGCCCCCAACTCTGCTTCCATCCCATTTCTCCCCTTCTCCCATGCCCCCGCCCCTCCCTCCTGGAACTTCCTTGATACTGCAAATCAACTTCAGAAGCACTGGGAGGGCAGGGGAGGATGTGGTTAGCATGGCCAGCAGTGGGTGAGAGGCACAAAGGGAGGATGGAAAGGGAGGAGCTTGGCACCAGGGGATGCTCTAGCCCCAGAGCACCCACAGAGTCAGCACTTATGACATTAAGTTACACATTAACATGTAGGAAGTTGGGTGAGGATGGCCTGCTGGGTATATTTTATATAAAGTATTGTTTATTAAGGAAGATGATATTCATGGAAATCTGATGGTGTGGGAGCAACTGTGTACAATGTTTTGGATTTTGATGTGTGCAAGTAAAATATGTCAGATCCATTTTAAGAATGAAATGCAATTTTCTTTCTTTTTGCCCATTCTGTACTAAGTACACATAAAGCTCTCAAGCAACTGACCACCACTAATTTATTGTGACATTCAATGATCAGTTTAGTTTTAATTTCCCGCTACATTTTTGGAATGCATGCTATAAATATAGCCTCATGATTTTATGGTGCTTGCAATTAAAATGAAGTCATTATTATGAATAGATTTCTAATAATATCTCTCAAAAAGTATGAATAGCCATTCTGGCTCATTTAAAAAGAATGCATCATAGTATCAAAGAAGATTAGGGCTGGAAAAGGCCTCAGGAGGTCATCTAGTCCATCACAGGACCATTCCCAACTAAAATCATCCTCCCAAGACTTGTCTTAAAAGTCTTTAAGGATGGAGACTCCAGCACCTCCCTAGGAACCATTTCCAGTGCTTTACCACCCTTTTAGTGAAACAGTTTTTCCTAATATCCGACCTAGATCTCTCACACTGCAACTTGAGACTATTGTCTTTTTGTTCTGTCACCTGCCATCATTCAGAACACCCTAACTCCATCTTCTTTTGAACTCCCCCCCCTTCAGGTAGTTGAAGGTTACTATCAAGTCCCCCTTCATTCTTCTCTTCTGCAGACTAAATAAGCCAAATTCCTACTCTTCTCTTCTGCAGACTAAACAAGCCAAATTCCCCCAGCCTCTCCTCATAAGACATGTGCCCCAGCTCCCTTATCATCTCCAGTTTGTCCACATCCTTTCTGTAGGCCCAAAATTGAATGCAATGCTCCAGAATCCATTAATAAAAATAAAGTTTGAAAAATTGGTAATAAAGTGAATGAGTAAATTAAAGCTGCTGCATGTTATGCAAATAAACATGTACAATATATAATATCACAGAAAAGTAGACTGGGCACTCCCACTGGTCCATCATTAGTAACATATTATAGAAAGGCAGTAACTTCTGCACAATAATAGTTACATACATCTCCCCTTATAAAGCTCTTGATAAACAAGCACTGTAACTTGGCTTAGATAATTGACAGAAGCCTGGAAAGCATTACATTTATGTTTGAAGCAAGGGAGAATTATTATGAAAAGTTTGAAGGAAATTGAATAATTAAAAAATAACCATGATTGGAAATTTTGGCTTTTGTCTAACATTTCTCTGTTTCCCCATAGGGCAAATCATCTCATTACTACTCCTTCAAATATTTTAAGTAGCTAAATCTCTTTGAAAACTTCTGTTTGGATAATTCAAGGCCCCACTGATGTCAACAAGAATCTTTTGCCAGTGACGTCAGTGGAATTAAGATCAGTTGCTATGTATTTGGATCAGCACAATACAAAGTACAAGATTAATTTGGATGTGCTTAAATTCATCCTGATTCAAAGAAGCACTTGAGTGTGTTGAACTTTAAACATGACCCATAGATGTCTATTAAATGTCATACAATTCCCCCTACAAATGTAAAACCACTGTTCAATGAAATCAGAATTTGGCCCTGTTTTAATGTTAATCAATTAGGATGCACCTACACAGCAGCATTGTTTTGGAATAATAGCCATTATTCTGAAATAACAATGTGAGTATCTACACAGCAATTCTG